ACAGTTATCTCTTTTTTTAATTGTGCTATACATTTTTCTGCTCCCCTCCCTTCTTCCCCTTTCCCCTTCTACACTCTCCCGTGGCCCCCACACTCCCAATTTACTCAGAAGATCTCGTCTTTTTCTCCTTCCTATTTAGATCCATGTATGTCTCTCTTAGGGGCCCCTTTGTTGTCTAGGTTCTCTGGGGTTAGCTCTTGATTGAATCATTGACTTGGAGTTATTTTATATTTGGACTTTGTAAAGGAATAATTCCATAAAGAATGCCCCCTCCTTTCCTTTTAATTTTTGGTCTATAGTTCTAAGTTTTCACAACTATCTTGCAAACTATGTTCTTAAAAACTGATTAAACAATTGAGGGAAGCTCAAAATTCCTAAAGGAATCTTTTGATAAGGAGCAAATTGCCGCTGGTATTAGTTTGCTTATGATGACTCAGTGTGACACAGGCCTTGTGGGTTGCTCTGGCTGGAGGCATAAAGATAACACTAATGAGGACTCACAAGGCACTGAGTAGCATTGGCGTATTATCTTATCAATCACTTTCACTTTGACCAAGCCCTGAAAACTAGTAAGAGCTATACTCTGCCCTTCTTCGTGTGTGTGTGTGTGTGTGTGTGTGTGTGTGTGTGTGTGTGTGTACATATGTGGAAGCAAAGGGACAATGTACATCACATGTGTGCAAGTGCCTGTGGAGGCCAGATGAGGGTACTGAGTCCTCTGGAAGAGCAGCAAGTGTTCTTAACCACTTCTCCAGCCCTCCAGCCCCTTTGGTGCCTGCCCTGGGGCTCACTGAGTAGGCTAGGCTGCCTGGCCAGAGAGCCCCAAGGCTGATGACTTGAGTTAAATCCCTAAAATAGTGGCAGGAGAGAACAGCTTCTTTTCTCAGGCCAGAATAAACCAGGATGCTAATGTGGAGAGAATTCGGAACTTTTGTCAAGTCAGCCAGATGTGTGGTGTGTGCCAGTAATTCCAGGATCTGGGAAGTGCAAGCAGAAGGATAAAGAGTTTGAGGCCAGACTCAGCTACATAATGAATTTGAGGCCAGCCTGAGCTACATGAGACCTTCTCAAAAAAAAAAAAAAAAAAGAAAAAGAAAAAAAAGACACACAAAATGGGCTAGAGGGATGGTTTCAACAGTTAAGAGTATGTATTACTCTTGCAGAACATGGGTCCAGTTCCCAGCACCTACATCTGGCTGCTCCCAAGTGCCTGTATCTCCAGTTCTAGGGATCCAGCATCTTCACATGGCCTTACTGAGGCACCTGTACACACATGGTGAACATAAACTCATGCATGCACACATACATATACATCAATTAAATCAGGTTTTGTTTTGGAGTTGTGGGGTTTTTTTTAATATTACACAAACAAACTGTCAAAGAATCTAAATTATTTACTTATTCAAAATACTGTCTCTTATGGAATGTCTTGGAGAAGTTTCTTCATATTCTTTGAGCCAGGCCACAGTTTATCATATTCTAAAGAACATGATGAGATCTAGGAGACATGTCAGTCTGATCAGCAGTTAGAAGGCAGGCTAGTAATTGAGTGAGTATGTGCTTCATTTCTGGATTTACATACAGTCTGTTGTTGTGGGATATTTGTACACTGTATGAAGATGTATTGCTGTGGTTGGTGTAATAAGAAGCTGACCGGCTAATAGCTAGGTAGGAAAGTATAGGAGGGACTTACACACACACAGAGAACTCTGGGAAGAAGAAAGGCAGAGTCACCAGGCAGACATGGAGGACACAGGATGGGCAGTATGGGAATGAGGTAACGAACCTTGTGGAAGAAAGTAGATTAAAAATATGGGCTAATTTAAGCTATAAGAACTAGTTAGGAATGTAGGACCCAGCCATGATCAACTTAATGGAGACCTGAGTCTCAGTAGTTTACCCTGAGGCGATACCTGGTTGCAGGAAGAACCACAAACTGAGATTACCCAGGCACCACTCAGGAACAGACCATCCAAAGGAAATTCCTAACATTCCAACTGTTGTAGATAGGGTCACCTGCTAGGGCACATTCACCAGGACACCCCTAGACAAATGTCAGCCAATCAGGGGTCCAAATCCTTAGAAATCCCTCATCCCCACCATTACTACTATAAAAACCCAACTCTAACTGAGCTCGGGGCTCTCCAATCATTCCAATGTGTTGGACACAGGGAGTGTCAGAGTTTGCAAACTTGTGTAGAATAAAGGCTCTTTGCTTTTACATACAGGACATACAGGACATACCGGACATACAGGACTCGATATCCTTGTTGGTTCTTGGGGTACTTCACGGATCTGGGCATAGCTAGGAAGATGCCTAATCTAGGCCAAACTTTTATACTTCATAATAAGTCTCCCGTGTCATTATTTGCATGCTGGCGTCTTGCCAAGAAAGTAGTCTTGACGAGAGAAACCATTTGACGTTATGCAAATTAACTTTCTGAAATCTTCATTTTTATTTTCATGTTTAAAACGTGAGGATATTAATTTCCTCTTTGTAGAGTTATTTCAAAGTTCAACAAGATGTTACAAATAATGGCACAATTCTTGTTATGTATTAGATATTCAATAAATATTAATTGAACCTGAGCACTGTAAGAAATGTCTTTCAGAAACCAGCTTCTGGATATTTTAATTTACAGATTTCCCTTAGCCAGGTACGGTGGTGCAGGCCTGTGTTTCTGGTAGATAAGATTGTTTTAAGTCTGAGGCCAGCCTGATCAAATAGTAAGTTTCAGGGCAGCCAGATTACATAGCAAGGCCTTGTCTCAAAAATGAACAAACAAAGGAAAAAAAGAAAGGGAGAGAGGGAAGAAGAGGGGGGAGGGAGGGAAGAAGGGGAAAGGGCAGGAGAGACAGAGAGGTTTTCCAAATCATCAGTGATGTTCAGTGGGTGCCAGTTGCACAAAATTCCAGGCTGTTTACTTAGCCAAGGGTACTCCCCACCCTGAGAGGAGGAAGTAGGTGCCAAGAGAAGGTTAACCATTGGGTGAGTCCCTGTTCTGGGTGTAGATGGAATGTACCTCAAGCACGCACTCCAGTCCTCTTCCGGGCTGCGTTTTTTTTTGGGGGGGGGTGTTTCGAGACAGAGTTCCTCCTTGTAAGCCTTAGCTATCCTGGAACTCACTCTGTAGATCAGGCTGGTCTCAAACTTGTAAAGATCCATCTGCCTCTGTTTCCCAAGTGTTGAGATTAAAGGTGAGTATCCACTGCCTGGTTCCAGGCTGCATTTTTAGAAGGTTATCAAGACAGAACATTATTCCTGTCTATGCTGTTAAACTCACTAGAGAGCTTCTCCTCAGAGCCCGGCACAAGAGACAGCCATTTACACAGGACATCAAAAAGTGCTCTGAGGTGTTTCCACTTTCTTCATCTTCCCCTCCCTAAACTGTCTACTTTATTTCCCTCCTTTGACCAGCTACTTCTGTCATTTGCTCTCACATCAGCCCAGTCTCACTGACTGATGTAGAACATGAAGTTGGGATGGGAGGATGAGATGGAGCAAAGATTGGCCAGGACAATGAGGCAATTGCTACCTAACAGGCAGTTAGAAACAGCGTTTGTTTAAAAGCACTGACTCCTCACTTGGGCCCGTAAGGTAACTAAACGTAGGATAAAGACTAGCATCTCTGCTTTCATTTTGTGGCTGCCTTCCTGTTTTGGGGTTGCCTAGTTACCTCTGCATGTAGGCATGTTCATCATTCAAGGAATGCCTACTCAGAAACCTATGATGTCTCATTTCCCTACAAGAATAAAGGCATAAAAAATAAAGTGAATGAGACATCGCATTGTCAGCTTTTACAATTACTCCCCTGTAGCCAGTCTTTCTTTGGATAACCAGCTCCCAAATAATAACATGGGAGACTTCTTATTGGTCATAAAAGCTTAGCCTTAGCTTAGACTTGTTACCAACTTGCTCTTATAACTTTAATTAGCCTATTTATATTAATATATGTTCTGTCATGTGCCTCATTACTTCCTCATACTGTATGTCTGACACCCTCCCACCCCCACCCCCACTCCCACCCTGTGTCTCACTGGCAAATTCCCAACCTCTAAGATTCTTCTCCCCAGTTCCTCTCTCTGCCGGGAAGTCCTGCCTATCCATTCCTGCCTAGCTATTGGCCATTCAGTTCTTTTTTTTTTCAAGATTTATTTACTATGTATACAGTGTTCTATCTACATGTATTCCTGCATGCCAGAAGAGAGCACCTGATAGCCGGGTGGTGGTGGCCCCACTTCCTCTTCTGCTTAAGCCTAAAGCTCATATGGGCTTATCAACCCTTTATCTGTTCCTTTCCTGAATGTGGCCATTAATGGAATCTAGCTCTGCTTTTCATTTTTACTCCTTTCTTTGTGTTAGGGGCACCATACACTAGGGTGCCTTATGACCTTTTCTGCCCTGAGTTAGCCAAAAATACATACATGTACATACATACATACATACATACACATACATACTCATGTAGCCCAGACTAGCCTTGAACTCAGTATGTAGCTGGCTAAAGATTATGTTAAACTTCTGATTCTCTTCCTTCTGCATCAAGTGCAGGCATGTACCATCACACCCAGCTTATGCGTGCTCGGGACCAAATGTAGGGCTTTGTGTGTGGTTGAGTAAGCACTCTACCAACTGAGCTACATCCCCAGTCCCTTAGCTTTTATCTGTCTTCCTTGTCAAGTTTAAAGAGCTGATATCATGTCCTCGCATTAGTAACCAAGGGTATAAAGACTCTTTGGCTCCGTATGTCTTTTTACAAAAGGACCGCCATGCAAGAAGAAAACCTATTACCAAAAAAGCCTCTAGATAGTCTTTCTAGATTCCAGAGGGTCGCAATTCTCTGGAATACAGGAGCAGAGAATATTTTTCTCAGCCTACTCCTGGTTTCTATATACTGTTATAAAACCCTTCCCATTGTAAAGGCCAGGTCCATGTGGAGCCGCGCCCTTCTCCCTCGAACTACAACTCCCAGCATGCAGCCTGCCCCCAAGAACACGCATGCGCATGGGCGGGGAAGGGGGAACCAGCAACACAGACAGCGCGGTCGGGTTTTGGGGGCAGCCGGCGGGAGAGTTCTGGAACTCCCTGAAGCTGAGGCGCAGCGGAGCGTGGCCGCCGAGAAGAACAATTTAAACCTTGCGGGCTCTGCCGGGAGTCGGCGGCCGGACGCCAGCAGGTGAGTTCAGCACGGTGCTTTCCAGGAAGTCCGTCGGCGGGCGGCGGCAGCGGGTCGCTTCGGCCTGGGCGATCAAAGAGGGAGCGGCTGTGCTTCCCGCCGCAGGGGTGCGGCGCCTTCCCCGCGGGCCTCGCTAGGGAGCCGAGGGTGCCGGGCCGTTCCGGGACAGCAAGGTGTGCCGGGTGTCGCCCGCGGCCAGGCACGCAGGCTCTGAGCTTCGGTGAGTCACAGCGGCCGGTCGGCTGTGGTTCGGGGGCCCGTCACCTAGTGTTCGGGACAGGCTGGCTAGAGTTCGGGGCCTGTCACCTAGTGTTCGGGACCGGCCGGCTGGGGTTCGGGGCTCCTCAGCTCGAGTTCGGGACCGGCCGGCTGGGGTTCGGGGCTCCTCAGCTCGAGTTCGGGACCGACCGGCTGGGGTTCGGGGCCGGCCACCTAGTGTTCGGGACAGGCTGGCTAGAGTTCGGGGCCTGTCACCTAGTGTTCGGGACAGGTTGGCTAGAGTTCGGGGCCTGTTACCTAGTGTTCGGGACCGGCCGGCTGGGGTTCGGGGCTCCTCACCTCGAGTTCGGGACCGACCGGCTGGGGTTCGGGGCCGGCCACCTAGTGTTCTGGACAGGCTGGCTAGAGTTCGGGGCCTGTCACCTAATGTTCGGGACCGGCCGGTTGGTGTTCGGGGCCCGTCACTTCGAGTTCGAGACCGGCCGGCTGGGGTTCGGGGCTCCTCAGCTCGAGTTCGGGACCGCCCGGCTGGAGCTGGGGGGGCTGTCACCTCGAATTCGGAATGGTCTACCTGGGGTTCGGCACTGGCCATCTGGGTTTCGGACTGGCTGATGCTCTGGACCCGGCGTGGGCTGGGGAAGTCGTCTGGGAAGTGCCTCACCCCGCAGCCCTTCTACCCCAGCTGTCTTCTTGCTGCCCTGGCTGTTGGTTGAGAGGGATCCCACAGAACTTGGGACACACCCTTTTCGTGATTGAAATCTGGCCGTCTTACATTGACCATTTTGATCTGTCAGCTCTGCTCTGCCTTAGAATCAATTTCTGGCTCCTGTGCAGCACAGCTGGGACCGGCTGTGAAGCTGATGCGGGTTTTGAGGACGTGACTGGGTCGTTATTTTTGTGCTTACAGAAGTTGATGAGTTTCCTCTGCAGGCCTGCATTCTGATTACAAACAGAAATGGGAAACAGCCCCAGTTTTTACTTTCCTTTTCTTCTCATCTCTTTCCCCTCCCTTTTCTGTTTTCTCATCTTCTCATTCGTGTTTATTTAAGAATCTCCTTTACCTTTTTCCGAATCCTTCTCCCCCATTCTGTTTCTAGCTCCCTTTCCCCCATGTATTCATTCATGTTTAGCTAAGAATCGAATTTCCAACTCGCCCTCTGCCTCTCTTAAAACCCACAGTCATCTATTTGGTAATGAACGCGGCAGTAAAACTTATCCCAGGAGGTCATACTTAAACAGGAAATGAGCCTGCGGAGATCGGTTAGCTATGTGCAGTCTTCTTTGGTTTCTGACATTTTTTGTGCAGCTCATTCTTTTTCTGAGAATCCTTCAGAATAGTTTCTTGGCAGATTAAATTGATTAATCAATCGACCCACTGGTATTTTAGAAAAATAGATCTTTTTATTAGTTGCCTCTTCTTAGTGCTGTCACACTCCCCTCCCTTTTTTATTCATATTTACTGAGCTATACATTTTTCTCTGCCCCCCTCCCTGCTCCCTCCCAAGGTCCCCATGCTCCCAAGCTGTCACACTTTTTATATGTAAACACATACACATCCCTTTTTGGTGTTTTGAGCCATTCTCACTATGTAGCTCAGGCTGCTCTTTAGCCCCTTCTTTTCCTGTCTCAGTTTCTCAGTACTGGAATTACAGATGGGGCCATCAAGTCTAGCTAACTCTAAATGTCTTTAAGAACCCACAGTTAGGGCCTGGAGAGACGGCTCAAAGGTTAAGAAGACAAATGATCTTCCAAAGGCCTGGGTTTAGTTTCCAGCACCCCCACATCACAGCCTACAGCCATCTGTAACTCCAGTTACATCTGGTATCCTCTTCTGGTCTCCACAAGCACTGTACACATGGTGCACATACAGACAAGCTTGCACACATAAGTAGAATTCTTAGAAAGAGCACACAGTTACAGTTAGAATCCCATCTCTGACTCCACAGTGTGCATCCTATTATATTCCAGATCTTAGAACTTCCTTGCCTTGCATCTCCCAACATTTCCAGTTTGTTTTTTTTTTTTTTTTTAGAATGAGATTGATGGTGGCCAGGTAACCCCACGTTTATCCTAGCCTTCTATGGTGTGTGTGTGTGTGTGTGTGTGTGTGTGTGTGTGTGTGGTATGCAGTTGGGTCAAAGCATGTTCATCTGTATTCACACATGTGTGAACCTACAGAGGAAGCCTGGAAGTTAATGTCATGTCTTCCTGCATCATATCTGCTGAACCATATCTCTAACCCCTCCTTTAATAATTATTTAAAAAAATTAATCCATCCGGGAAACCTTGGCTAAATGTATATCATTCCAACCGCTGTGCTAGACAAGAATGAACAAAAGTGAGTTCTTGAGGCTATTACTGCTCTATAGCTGAGTTTTCGTTCATCTTAGTGGTCGACCATTAAGCTATATTTTGCCTGACATTAAATACTTAGAGGTCAGATCCCATCACAATTCTTGGTGTTCAGTGTAATCACAGTTTTTTTCAGACTGATGATGTAGCTTAGTAATTGAATGTTTGCCTAGCAAGTGTAATGACCTAGGTTTGGTCCCAGCACCACAAAATCCAAAAGACAGTTTTCAACTCCCATCTACTGACTTATTTAAAGAACAGGTCAGTACAACAGAAAGGACCTAAGGGTCTCCATCATTTAGGGCCAGTACTCTTCACACTTAGCATGTGTAAATTGTTATACCTGTTCAATTTGAAGTGAAATCTGGAATTTGCATATCTTAAAGAGGTAGAAATCACACTTTGAAAATTAAGATGGTAAGATAATTCCAAAGATATTTTAAAGTGCTTCTGATGATTCTTTTAAGAAAGTGTCTAATAATTGTGATCTCTAATAATTGAGAGAGAGAGAAAGAGTCTAATTTTCAATTAAAAGGAATTTTCTTTCTGACAGAGTCTCGCACAGCCTCGGCAAGCCTCCAATTTACAATGTAGCCAAAGCTAGCCTTGATCTGGTGATCTTTCTGCCTCCACATCTTGAGAGCTGGAATTACAGGTAGGTGCCACATGCTGGCTTCTTCTTCTTCCTTTCTTGTGTGCTCTTAGCTTTCTTCCTCTTTTCTCCCGTTCTCAGTTGTTTGCATTCACATTTTCAGCAATTGACTGACTCAGCAAGGATGTATTTTACTCTGTCCTAGACACTGTCTTGGGCTCCTGATGAGTGTAAGATATGATTCCTATTTGGGTGCTTTTTGTAGGGAATAAGAACATGTGGTAGTTGTTTGTCAAGTATTTTCCAGTTGTACGGGTGGGGAACAAATAAAGTCAGTCTGTTTCCACATGCTAGTCATCTGTGCTCCCAGGCTGTCCCTTCCTGTCATGTTGGAGTGTGTGTGACATATCTACGTAGAGTACGTGGAATTTTGTCCATTTATTTGGAACTTGAGATGAGCTGCACACAGGAAAATCAGCTAGATCTAAGCACTGTTATCTGCCGGGCCGTGTCTACAGGTATAAATGTGTAACTGGGTTAGAAATCAACAGAGGGAGGGAAAAGATGAAAGATGTAGAAATGTGTTCTATGTCAGTGTGTACTCTGCTGTTGTTGTTTAGGCTTGCAGTCATGAAATTCCTGCCTTTCTTCCACAGTGCTAGCATGTGCCACCTCCAAGGAAATTTTGCTTTGTTTTGTTTGTGATGGGTTTCACTCTGTAGCGCAGTCTGACCTGGATCTCAATGCTTTGTTTGTTTGTTATGGGTTTCACTCTGTAGCGCAGTCTGACCTGGATCTCAATGCATGGGTTATTTGCTCACTCACAGCAGCCTTCTCCACTCAGCCTCCCTAGTGCTGGAGTTACCAATGTCAGCTACCACACCTAGCCGGGGTTTCCTGATTAAAAGAGTCCAGGAGGGCATTATTGTGTAGGCTCTAACTGTGGCTAAAGCAGTGTGTCACTCTTCCTCATTGACCTGCCTTGTTGACATTTGAATTACATTTGCTCTTCATGGTTTTATGTCAAATCCTTTAAAATCCTAAGTGTAAATTCATACTGAAAGGAAAACAATATAGGAAGCAGAAATGTTATTTAATTGTGATGGTCCATTAGCCTATTAGATATTAAAATTGTAGGGTCAAATTATGTTTGCTGATTATTAAAAAACAATTAAATCTGAGTATACATTCTTATATCTGTCTGAATCCATTAGGGAGTGGGGGTGTGGGAGTATATATATACATATATATGACTGTGCATCTGTGTGGAAGCCCCTTTTTGCGGGACAGGGTCTCTCTATATAGCACAGCCTGTCTTGGAACTTACTATATAGACCAGGCTGACCTCAGAGTCACATTGATCCTCCTGCTTCTGCCCCTCAAGTGCTGGGATTAAGGTTATGCACAACCGCACCAGGTTCTACCTTACTTTTATTTTTTATTTGTTTGTTTGTTTATTGTTGAGGTAGGGTTTTTCACTGAACTTGAAGCTTCCTGAGCTCAAGTCAGTAAGGCTGACTCGTTGACCACTGAGCCCCAGGGATCTTCGTCTTCTCTTCCCCGACTGTGAGATTCCAAATGCACACTACCTGACTTATATATGTGTGCTGGGGATCAAACACAGGTCTTCATGCTCGCATGGTGTGTACTTTACAGCTGAGTCACCTCTACAGACCTCTGTTGGTTTGATACTTAATGGTAATGAAGGAATAGAGGTCTGAATAATCCAAAGTGGTAAATAGTTGGAAGTGCATGCATTACAGTATTCTAGAATTACTTTTAGAACGAAATTGTTAGCCCATATCTTGAAATAGAATTTTTACATTTATTTATTTAGTGTGTGAATAGGCACCCATGAGCCATGATCTACGTGTCATAGGACAGCCTGTGAGAGTCAGTTCTCTCCAGCATGATGTGGGTCCTGGGAATTTAACTTGGGTCATCAAGCTTGACGGCAAATACCTTTACCTGCTAAGCCGTCTTGGTGGTTCTGTCATTAACCTATATCTTGAAGTGCTGCTCTTTTTTATGATTAGTGTTTCTTACATCCGGACCAAGGAATTTGGAACTACCCTTAAGGTGGTAAAGGTAGTCTGGTTTCTCTACAGGGTTTCATTTACCCCAGGCTGGACTCAAACTCACTATGTTGAAAGAATGACCTGAAAGTCTTCCTGCCTCTACCTCCCTCCCAGTGCTAGGATTACAGACATAGACCACCACACCCAGCAGGATATCCCTTGATGTTGGAGTTATAGGTGACTAGGGGTGCTCGTCATGGAAACTGGGAACTGAGCTCAAGTCCTCTGCAAGAGCAGTATGCACTCTTAACTACTGAGCCGTCTCTCAACAACTTTTTTCTGTCCTATTTGAAACAGTGTCTCCCTACGTAGCCCTGAATGGCCTTAAATTTTTTTTAACATTTATTTGGCTTTTTTTTTGGGGGGGGGGGGGTTCAAGACAGGGTTTCCCTGTGTTGCTTTGGAGCCAGTCCTGGAACTAGCTCTTGTAGTCCAGGCTGGCCTCGAACTCACAGAGATCCGCCTGCCTCTGTCTCCTGAGTGCTGGGATTAAAGATATGCGCCACCACTGCCTGGTTTAACATTTATTTGTTTGTGTGTCCCTCAGCATACTCGTGCAAGTCAAAGGATGACTTAATTTTCAGGAGTCTGTTTTCTTCTTCTACCATGTGAGTCCCCGGGATCAAATTCAGGTCATCAGGCAGCAAATACCTTTACCCCGAACCACCTTTCAGGCCACATGTACCGATTTTTTTTTTTTATCAATCCTTTTTCTCTTCACTCTAGTCTCCCTATCCTTCTCCTGGCCCCAGTTCTTGCTGCCTCTTAGCCTAGACTTTGAGCTTTGCTTACTCTGCTTCCCCCGCCACACCTCTTCTAGCTGAATCTGCCTCTCCTGACCACCCACAGTTATCTTGGAACTTCTGCAGCACTAATTGTCAGGCGCATGGATTTAGGCTGCTGACTATGTATTGCCTTGGTTTTTAAAAGTAGCTCTATGCCTTGTTTCATTTTCTCAATTAGATGGTATTCATCGGTCTCTTAGATCTCAGGGAATACAAACCCACTTAGGCTTGCCTGCTGTGGAGTTGGGGGTGGGGTTGTAGTGGATTATTATTATAAGGCTGCTGAGCTCCCAGAAATGAACTACAGCTGGGATCAGATCTTAGAGAGATGCCCACCCCTGTGCCAGCTTTCTGAATCTGTGGCTTTCTTGGGTTCTCTTTGGCTCTTTTCTGTGCCTCCTCTCCACTCTAGGATATTACTTTCTTTTAATAGTGGAAATTATATTGAGTCTGTGGCAAAGAAAAAGACTTACACAAATGATTATGCTATGGTAAGCTGTGTTGATAAAAATATGAACAAAGTAGTGATGTTCCTCTACAATGTTCCTGTGTGTGTAGATAATATGTGCAGCTTAGGATTTTGTTTATATAACCCAACCCCTCTCCCTTTCTCTTTCTCTCTCTCTCTCTCTCTCTCTCTCTCTCTCTCGTTTGTTGTTGTTTATTTTTCCAGATGAGGTTTCTCTGAGTCTTGACTGTCCTGTGTCCTGGAACTAACTCTGTAAACAAGGCTGGCCTTTAGGGTTTCTCTGTGTAACCTGCCTTGGAACTTACTTTATAGACCAGGCTGACCTCAAACTCACAGAGCTCCCTGCCTCTGCCTCCCGAGTGCTGGGAAAGGTGTGCACTACCACGCCAATTTCATTTCTTCTATTTTTAACATTTATCTTTGTCGTCCAATTCTGCTAGTAATTGCAAGTGTTAGATGGTTTAGAATATAGTAACATCTCAATTACTAACATGAACTAGTTACTTAAAAATAAACCTTAAAGATAATAGTGACTTTATTAGCTAGCTTTTTTGTTTGTTTTTGGTTTTTTATTTTTAGCTAGCTTTTTTATTAAGTATTTGGGTCTATATTAGGTACTGTTTAAAGTGATTTATGTGTATTAATTCATTTAATTAGTTAACATACCAACCCTGTATGTAGTTCAGTACCTTCTAAAAGTCATAAAGCTTACATTTGATATTTTCCTCCTAAGACGGGCTCAATGTGTTACTTAGGCTGGCCTAGAAGTCCTAGGATTAAGTCATCCTTCTGAGTAGCACAAGGTACCACATATGTGAAATCCTTTTTTAAAATTGTGTTACGTCTCTTTTTTTCTTCAGTAAATACCTATTATATGCTTCTTCTGATCTTATTAATTGGAATATGGATTTTTATCTATATATCTTATCTATTTTTGGTTTTTCACGATAGAGTTTCTCTGTGTAGCCCTGGGTGTCCTGGAACTCACTCAGTAGACCAGGCTGACCTCAAACTCAGAGATCCGCCTGCCTCGGCCTCCCAAGTGTTGGGATTAAAGGTGTGCACCACCACTGCTACCACCACCACGCAACAGGTTTGATTTTTTGTTTGGTTTTGGTTTGTTGTTGTTGTTGTTGAGATTTTGTCTTTATTTTTCAACATGTGTTTATGTGTGCATTTGAATACAGTGCCCTTGGAGTCTGGAGGTTGTTGGATCCCCTAGGACTGATAGGAGGTTGGGAATTGTCCAACATGGGTGCTGAGAATCAAGCTCAGGTCATCTACAAGAGTAGCATGTGCTCTTAACCACTGAACCATCACTCCAGCCCCTTGGCATAGTATTTTAATGTTCTGTTTTGCATAATATTTTTACTGTAGTATGCATTTACCTTCTGGGGTTTTAAGGTTTTTGTAAATATATTCAATTCCTTTGCCCTTTTCATTTTACTTTGTTTTTCCTTCTCTTTTATACCCAACTGTGGCTTGTTCTCAGTCACATTGATTTAGCTAGCTTCTGTTAATGTGAAGTATTAGTGACATGAAAACCATGATTGAAATCGAATGTTTTGTAGATGTAGTTAGAGATTATAGAAAAATAGGGAGTCTAAGGCCTTGTTCAAATCTTACATTCACTGAGAAGTATATGCTCTTAGGCAGGCTCTTTTTTTTTTTTCTGAGCCTCGGATTATTTTTAGCAAATTTCATAGGACATTAGTATTATGCAGTATTATT